ATGGCCTTTAACCCTGAAAGGGCAAAGGATATCTTAATCAAATTCCAGAATAGGGTACTGGGCCAAGGATCCAGCGGCCTAGGTCAGTTGGTAAGGCATGCAAGTGGCATTCAGGAGGTCTTGGGTTCAATCCCCATTGGCCTCATGTACCTTCCTGGGCATGCTTGGCGCCCACCACCTAGAGATAGCCCGTTCTCTTATACACATCTAGATGTGGAAAGTTTAAGAAACTAAAATAATATTTTCTGTGGATAAGGAGCAAACATTACTTATCAATACCTTTCTCGCCCTTTTGGCTAAAAATAGACCACATTATCTGATCTGTTTAACATCTGATCCGCGGTCCATCGGGCCAAAAAAAAAAAAAAAAAACGTATTTTTGTTGTGGATAAGCAGCAAGCTCTACTTATCTGGAAAAAAAAAAAAGCAAAAAAGAAAAAAAAACGTATTTTTGTTGTGGATAAGCAGCAAGCTCTACTTATCTGCTTGTGGATATGGAGCAAACACTAATTATCTGTTTGTGGATAATGACCAAACACTACTTCTTCACACTACTTGATATCTGCTTGTGACAAGGGGTACAATCTTAGCAGAGGCTGCAGCTCCCTGTGTCTGGAGGTGCAGATGTTGGAATGCACCTGGACTGTATTTTGCACTGTGTTTTGTGTTTGAAGAGGGCAACCCCTGATGGTTTGTAACTTTACAAATTATAACTTTATTTAAAATGTCTTTTTTTTTTTTTTTTTTTTTTTGGGTCTCTTTTGTCTTCTCAATTTTTGATCCAGGAACTTGCGGGGCTGAGTGTGGCATGTGCGATTACTGAGGTAAGTTTTGTTTTCTTTCTTCGTTCTCCTTTTTCATCCATGTACTATAAACAAGTGGACCCCGCCACGGCAACGCCGCGGCGCACAGCAACACTCGCTGATGGCGTCTTATTTTTGTTTCATGTCTCTCTCTCCCTCTCTCTCTCTCTCTCTCTTTGTTTCTTCCCGTGTTGTGCTTGGCGGGCATCG